AAAATGTTCTCTAACAACGTAATGAGAACTTTCATCAATCAATAATAAAGTTGTAAAGACATTATAAGAATGTGGTTCTAAGAATGTTTTTTAACAACACTAAGAGGACTTTAATCAATCATAAATAACGTTGTTACCATGTTCCGAAAATCTGGTTCTAAAAATGTTCTCTATCAATATTATTAGAACTTTCGTCAATCATGAATAACGTTGTAAAGACATTATAAGAACGTGGTTCTAAAAATGTTTTCTAACAACACCAAGATAACTTTCATCAGTCATAAATAACGTTGTTACCATGTTCCGAGAATGTGGTTCTTAAAATGTTTTCTATCAATATTATTAGAACTTTCATCAATCATGAATAAAGTTGTAAAGACATTATAAGAACATGGTTCTAAGAATGTTTTCTAACAAAAATAAGAGAACTTTAATCAATCATAAACAACGTTGTTACCATGTTCCGATAATCTGGTTCTAAAAATGTTCTATAACAACGTTATGAGAACTTTCATCAATCATGAATAACATTGTACAGACATTATAAGAACGTGGTCCTAAGAATGTTTTCCAACAACACTAAGAGAACTTTAATCAATCATAAATAACGTTACCATGTTTCGAGAATGTGGTTCTAAAAATGTTCTCTATAAACATTATTAGAACTTTCGTCAATCATGAATAAAGTAAAGACATTATAAGCACGTGGTTCTAAAAATGTTTTCTAACAACACTAAGAGAACTTTAATCAATCATAAATAACGTTACCATGTTCCGAGAATCTGGTTCTAAAAATGTTCTCTAACAACGTAATGAGAACTTTCATCAATCAATAATAACGTTGTAAAGACATTCTAAGAACGTGGTTCTAAGAATGTTTTCTAGCAACACTAAGAGAACTTTAATTAATCATAAATAACGTTGTTACCATGTTCTGAGAATGTGGTTCTAAAAATGTTCTCTATCAACATTATTAGAACTTTCATTAATCATGAATAATGTTGTAAAGACATTATAAGAACGTGGTTCTAAAAATGTTTTCTAACAACACTAAGAGAACTTTCATCAGTCATAAATAACGTTGTTACCAGGTTCCGAGAAAGGGGTTCTTAAAATGTTCTCTAACAACGTGATGACAACTTTCATCAATCATGAATAACGTTGTACAGACATTATAAGAATGTGGTTCTAAGAATGTTTTCTAACAACACTAAGAGAACTTTAATCAATCATAAATAACGTTGTTACCATGTTCCGAGAATCTGGTTCTAAATATGTTCTCTAACAACGTTATGAGAACTTTCATAAATCATGAATAACGTTGTAAAGACATTATAAGAACATGGTTCTAAGAATGTTTTCTAGCAACACTAAGAGAACTTTCATCAGTCATAAATAACGTTGTTACCATGTTCTGAGAAAGGGGTTCTTAAAATGTTCTCTAACAACGTTATGAGAACTTTCATCAATCATGAATAACGTTTTACAGACATTATAAGAACGTGGTTCTAAGAATGTTTTCTAACAACACTAAGAGAACTTTAATCTATCATAAATAACGTTGTTACCATGTTCCGAGAATGTGGTTCTAAAAATGTTGTCTATCAACATTATTAGAACTTTTGTCAATCATGAATAACGTTGTAAATACATTATAAGAACGTGGTTCTAAGAATGTTTTCTAACAACACTTAGAGAACTTTCATCAATCATAAATAACGTTGTGACCATGTTCCGAGAATCTGGTTCTAAAAATGTTCTCTATCAACGTTATGAGAACTTTCATCAATCATGAATAACGTTGTAAAGACATTATAAGAACATGGTTCTAAGAATGTTTTCTAGCAACACTAAGAGAACTTTCATCAGTCATAAATAACGTTGTTACCATGTTCCGAGAAAGGGGTTCTTAAAATGTTCTCTAACAACGTTATGAGAACTTTCATCAATCATGAATAACGTTTTACAGACATTATAAGAACGTGGTTCTAAGAATGTTTTCTAACAACACTAAGAGAACTTTAATCTATCATAAATAACGTTGTTACCATGTTCCGAGAATGTGGTTCTAAAAATGTTCTCTATCAACATTATTAGAACTTTCGTCAATCATGAATAATGTTGTAAATACATTATAAGAACGTGGTTCTAAGAATGTTTTCTAACAACACTTAGAGAACTTTCATCAATCATAAATAACGTTGTGACCATGTTCCGAGAATCTGGTTCTAAAAATGTTCTCTAACAATGTTATGAGAACTTTCATCAATCATGAATAACGTTGTACAGACATTATAAGAACGTGGTTCTAAGAATGTTTTCTAACAACACTAAGAGAACTTTAATCTATCATAAATAACGTTGTTACCATGTTCCGAGAATGTGGTTCTAAAAATGTTCTCTATCAACATTATTAGAACTTTCGTCAATCATGAATAACGTTGTAAATACATTATAAGAACGTGGTTCTAAGAATGTTTTCTAACAACACTAAGAGAACTTTAATCAATCATAAATAACGTTGTTACCATGTTCCGAGAGCCTGGTTCTAAAAATGTTCTCTAACAACGTTATGAGAACTTTCATCAGTCATGAATAACGTTGTACAGACATTATAAGAACGTGGTTCTAAGAATGTTTTCTAACAACACTAAGAGAACTTTAATCAATCATAAATAACGTTGTTACCATGTTCCGAGAATGTGGTTCTAAAAATGTTCTCTATCAACATTATTAGAACTTTCGTCAATCATGAATAACGTTGTAAATACATAATAAGAACGTGGTTCTAAGAATGTTTTCTAACAACACTAAGAGAACTTTCACCAATCATAAATAACGTTGTTACCATGTTCCGAGAATCTGGTTCTAAAAATGTTCTCTAACAACGTTATGAGAACTTTCATCAATCATGAATAACGTTGTACAGACATTATAAGAACTTGGTTCTAAGAATGTTTTCTAACAACACTAAGAGAACTTTAATCAATCATAAATAACGTTTTTACCATGTTCCGAGAATGTGGTTCTAAAAATGTTCTCTATCAACATTATTAGAACTTTCGTCAATCATGAATAACGTTGTAAAGACATTATAAGAACGTGGTTCTAAGAATGTTTTCTAACAACACTAAGAGAACTTTAATCAGTCATAAATAACGTTGTTACCATGTTCCGAGAATGTGGTTCTAAAAATGTTCTCTATCATCATTATGAGAACTTTCATCAATCATGAATAACGTTGTACAGACATTATAAGAACGTGGTTCTAAGAATGTTTTCTAACAACACTAAGAGAACTTTCATCAATCATAAATAACGTTGTTACCATGTTCCGAGAATGTGGTTCTAAAATTGTTCTCTAACAACGTAATGACAACTTCCATCAATCATGAATAACGTTGTAAAGACATTATAAGAATGTGGTTCTGAAAATGTTTTCCAGCAACATTGTGAGAACTTTCATCTATCACAGATAATGTTGTGAAAACGTTCCGAGTATAAGGTTCTATGAATGTTTTCAAACAACATAATGAGAACTTTCATCAGTCATGAATATCGTTGTTAAGACGTTCCAATAATGTGGTTCAAAGAATGTTTTCTAACAAACATTGTTAGAACTTTCATCAACCATAAATAACGTTGTAAAGACGTTACAAGAACATGGTTCTAGGAATGTTTTCTTTCAGCATTTTGAGAACTTTGATCAATCACAAAAACATTATATACACGTTCAGAGAACGTTGTTATAAAAACGTTTCCTATCACCGTTATGAGAACTTTCATCATGCAGAAATAATGTTGTTACAACGTTCTTATAACAATCTTCTAAGAACATTTTCTATCAACGTTACAGCAACATTAATAACGTTCAAAGAACATTTTGAAAACATTACTTTAGCAACGTTATGTGCTAACATTAAAAAAACTTTTAAAGAATGTTAGCGAAAGTTATGGGAACGTTCCCTGTTAGCTGGGATCTGCGCGTGGACGCATTGTGCGTTTTTCTCCACTTGTGAGGCCGGGTTACACCTCCTCCTCATCCCTTTCACTATTTTCCATTTTTCCTGCAACATTATCGCGCTTCGATAAATAAAATTCGCATTTTTCACAATTTCTCGCTTTACGCATCATTTTTTAAGCCAAGTAATCTATCTCGTCCCTTCTGCTTTTAATGGCCGGTGGTGGTGCGCGGGGTGGGACAACACCCCAGCCTGACCCCGGCCCAGAACAAAGCCAACTACTAGTCACTGTCTGGGAACCTTTTATCCCATTCTTTCATTCCGGGGCCCTTCTTTTCTGACCGGCCACGTTTTTGTTGAGCGTCCTTTGACTCTCCACAAGGCCAAATATGGCCCCGCAGTCCCTCAATATGGGCGAGATTAATTTTTCAACTCTGCCATCTGTGGGGGTAAGAAGTCATAAATCTAGTGTTCGAATAGCGTGGGAGGATATAGATATAGATATAGAGATATAGATAGAGATGTGTTTATTTGCTTTATTTCTTCTTTCTTGCGCCTTTTTGTTATTTTTCAAACGCTAATCGTGGTCATTTTCCCAGACAGCAAATCTTCATTAGCCCCAAGATGAACATTTTTTCTTCCAAATTATCCCATTACGTCGGACATAAACAATCCAAAGTGCCGCCTCTCATTGGCTGGCCGTAGGGTCACGTGACCCCCGCGGCCGTCCGTCTATTTGACAGCCGCAGGATGGCTTGATGCCAGAGGGGGGAAAAAGAGACAGAGAGAGGGAAAGAAAAATTAGTATTCTCCTACTAGCCTCGCTATAAATCAATCATGGAGTCCTACGTGGTGAGCTGTAAATATGCGGAGCCGCAGTTCCCGCCTTGTGAAGAAGATTACAGTAATTTTACTGAGCAAGGGGGGTATTACAACAACCCCCAGGACAGTGGTAGTTACGGCGGAGGCTATCAGCCCATGCAACCCCCTCTACCTCCGTACGCATCACAACAAACCGGCTACCCACACTCTTTGCAGGGCCACCACCGGGAGGATGGAGAGGACCAGCCGCAGCATCAGACCTACCCGGTCTACAGGGAGACTGATGCGCGCGGGAAGGAGAGGTTCCCCGCGGGGGACCTGCAGTGCCAGACCTGGATGACCAACGTGAAGCCCGCTCAGGTGCAGAGGAAAACGGCCTGCCTGGGTAAAGACAAGCCGCCCATTGTTGTCTACCCCTGGATGAAGAAGGTACACGTCGCGCACGGTGAGAGCAGGGATGGAAGAGACACACTCACCCTGGTTTCTGCTTCTGTTCGAGCAATATTTATTCTGCTTTCGGTTTTTTCCCTTTCCTCTTTCGTCCATTTGTGAGGATCGTTTTTGTTGTCGAGTTATTTACGAGCTTGGTGAGACCAGGCGAGAATTACAGCCCCTATAAAGTTTTATGACCCTGCCACAGCCTTTGCGTGTGCGTGTGTGTGTGTGTGTGTGTGTGTGTGTGTGTGTGTGTGTGTGTGTGTGTTGCACAGCAATGCGGCTCAGAAAAGCTGCAAGTTAACGGTAACAATCGTTTTTTGGACCTCCTCTCGCCAACCAGGAACGCATTAAGACGCACTTAAAGAATATCTTATAATGTTTAGATAAGATTTGAAAAGAAATCTTTATAAATACGTAAATATATGTTTTAAAGAAATATGGCAACTAGAAAACAATATTTGGCCTCTAAGATATTTATTCTAAATACTTGTATTATTATTATTATTATTATTATTATTATTATTATTATTATTATTATATGTTTTGTTACAGTTAATCCGAACCACGTGGGCCCGGAGCCGAAGCGGTTGCGGACGGCCTACACGCGCCAGCAGGTTCTGGAGCTGGAGAAGGAGTTCCACTTCAGCCGTTACCTCACGCGCCGCCGCCGGGTGGAGGTGGCTCACGCGCTCTGCCTGTCCGAGCGTCAGGTGAAGGTGTGGTTCCAGAACCGGCGCATGCGCTGGAAGAAAGACAACAAGCTGCCGAACACCAAAGGAAGAAGCAAAAACAAGAAAACCACAGACAACAACAATAACAACGACAGCGTGAAGACCGCGATAAGCGTCTGAAACTCCCCAAAACAGAGCAGAAAATGGAACTATCGCCGCAAAAACTCAGGTTGCGGAATTGATCCAAGGTGATTGAAGTCTTGAAGGACAATTCTAGGTGAAACCTCCCCGGATTGACCAAAATCTTTGTGAATTCTTTAATCTATTTCTTCTTTTTCACATTTTATTCTGAAGGATTTCAAACATTCCTAATTTACAGGTCATAGAGGCTGCAATCTTTTCTAATGAATGTATTTGAGTTGTAATAATCTTTTTTTCTAGGGTTGCAGACGATCTGTCACCTTTATAGTACAAAAACAACGCAGTTTCACTGATTTCTAAGGATAATGAGATGTCTTTTTGCCTAAACAGGGTTTCTTTCTACAGGGTAAACTTACAGGGTTTTATATTAGCTACCTAAACTAATTTATGAATATGCACATTACCAAAATGTTCCACAAACTGGCGCTTAAAGGCTTAAAAACAAACAGAAACCAGCAGCAGGAAGATCAAATCGCTCGCTGGCTGACTTAGTTGGATAAATACTGTTCTAGCTTTTTGTAGGAAAGTAGCCATATTGTCCTGTCCATCCCCAAAAAAAGTTTATTTTTTGTTGTATTTTTTAATTTTTTTGCTCTTGTGGGCACAAATTAGAAGTAGGCCAGCAGATCATGCACAACAGTGATTCAGCTGATGTTCTCAGGGTGACAGGGTTTTATAAAAAGAACTTCCTTGACTGTTTGTTTATTAGCCCCTTATGTTAATGTGGCATACGAAGCATTGATTTTATTCTATTGAACCTTTACGTCAGTACTTATTTTGTATGATTTTAGAAACGTGTTTTATTCTTTTACCAATTGTCTTTGTTCTTTTTGAATCTGTGTTTATTTTTTGAAAAGAAAACATCATTTGATATTTTATACGTTTAAATGTTTTGATAAAGTAGATAAAAAAGAAATAAAAAAAACTGAATCTGTGTGCAGGAGGATTTTTCCTTTATGTGTGTGTTTCATGCAGGGGGACCAACGGAAGTGACGTATGTCAACATGAAACTATCGTCTCAAACAACAAATCCAAAATCCAAAACCTTGCACTAAAAACATTCCACTGAATTAAAAATTATATAGAGAAATATATGCAATGATGTAGCTCTGTTAATTGAATTAAACGAATTAAACGTTAAAAATGTACAAATTTAAATGCTTTCCACGCGATATTTCTCCACTATTTAACCAATAAAGAATAAACTTCATGACTTGATATTAGTTTTTATACTCAATAAGTATCTATTTACTCTTAAAAATAAAAAAAATATTAAAGTACGAGCCTTTGATTTAGGCTGTTAACGATCTAATTTTTTTTAAGTTGCAGAAGGTCTTTGCTGAGTGTTGATTACCGGGACAAGAGGCGCCATTAATAGGCAGCTTCCGGTCGAGACGCGGTTCAGACCAGCAGCTAGGTTCAAACCATCGACATATGCATATGGTTCAAACACTGGAGCATCACTAACAACAACTGGTGCAGCAAAATGTGGGACTTTTAAATACACACACATGCAGGCCATGTTTATTTAATTATTGTTACTCACACACAAAACGGTCTAATGTACCCACTAATTGGGTAAAATAGGGTTCGCATTTGCAGGTTTGTTCACCATCCTCCTTATGTAAAAACAGGAGCGCTCTCTACTGGTGGATTTGCACACTGCATACTGACAGTGAGGAGCAGATCAACAAAGTATTTTAAAAGTTTACCCCAAAATAAATAAATAAATAAATAAATAAATAAATAAATAAATAAATAAATAAATAATAAGGTAGCTACAAAGTGTTTGCAAATAGTGTCAGTGTGCTAAAAGGATTTAACAACCAAAGTTCAATTTCAATTAAGAGTTAAAAAAAACCTTATAATGAATTGAATACATTTAAAAAAATAAATATGTTAATTAATGGGCCATTAGATCGACACCTTCATAATACTACAATTATAGTTATGAATACATAATTCAGAAGTGCCACTTTAAGTCTCTCTGTATATTGAAAACAATTGCAAATGGAAAGAAGACAGCCTTACACCTTACACTAACAAGGAAGATCTCGAGTCTGAAGAATGGTTGTCTAAAACTAAATATAAGTCTGCTTTAAGAGATTTAAGTGGGTTAACGTGGACTAAGTTGTTATATCCCAAAATGTGTACTGTATACATATTTTGATTTAGAATTTTTGAAAAATTTCAAACGAATTTCTGCTTTTTAGCCCCCATTTGGTTTTTGTTGAGAAGCTTAGACACCAACATTTCTCAACTGAGGAGCAATAAAGAGGCTATTCTATTCTATTCTATTCTATTCTATTCTATTCTATTCGATTTGATTCGAGATCATACAGATGTGATGAGATTAAGATAAACGTTTTGCTTTTTGTTGTTTTACCACTGAATAACTACACATCGATCTCAGGAAACTTAAAATAAAATGTTGATTTTAAACGCGCAATTTAAATGCTCCCAAGCATAAAATTAAAGTAAATGTTTCTAAGGTTTGTGCGTAAAGTGGAACCAAACATCAGACTGCCTGTGCACCGGGGGACATCAAATGCGGGCGGAACCATAGAGAACAACACTTGTCCTTAACCTGACATGAAACACAAGTCGAGTAATAATCGCTGTCTGTAATTACAGTTTAGCAATAATAGTGTTATACAGCACCATGTCTCTGGCAGCGGAGGCTTTCGTGTCGCAGTTGGCAGGTAAAGTGTTTAATTCAGGCTCTTAATGATCGTCTAGGTTACCTTTAGCTCGGAGCTAATGGTTAGCATCTCAGAAAAGGGAGTTTACTCACGTGTATGTGACCTTTTAAAACAGAAAGCTAAGCTGGACATTTAACATAACCTATGCCTATAAACAGAAGTGGTGTCTGACAAGCTAGTAATTCCGGATAAATGAAGGCGATTTGTTGCAGCTAGCTGCTGCTAATCACAGACATTTATCAACTGATCATCATTAAGAGCAGGTTTTAGCAGTTTGCTGCTCTGGAGGTGATGCTAAAGAGGAAAATTGTGTAAATGTTTAATCGTTTTATTCCAAGCAATATATTTATTAAGTGGAATATAGTTTAAGAAATCTAGATAAAAGTTTAGTAAGAGGTTTGTTAGCAAAAACACATCATTTATATTTTTATTTAACCAGGAAGGACCCATTGAGATTAAAAAACGTAATTTTCAAGGGAGTCCTGGACCAGAAGGTTTCCTGTGATTGAGAGTTCAAATAATTTTATGCACTTGCTCTACATTAAATGGAATAACATTAAAAGAGGCACCAGGGGTCATTGGGCAAGCTGTGCAAGGGGAAACAGGAGGTGGTCCAACAGAAGTAGACATAAACCAGATGAGATCAAATGTTTGTGAAAGCAGTTTAAAACCTCAGTTCTATCATACACCTGGACAGAGTTGTTCCAAACAAATTTAGGATAACGTGAGAACCGTGTTGGCAGATAAGGACTTAAAGAGCAAATTGCAGGTTAGAGACTCCCATGAACCAATGTTTAGAGAAACATAATAGAAACTCGTTTTAAAAGTTTTTTTTACACATACATGAATTATTTAGGCTTTTAGAGTCATTTTTGTGAGAAAGTTTTTTTTGTCAAACCAAGTGACGTCAGAGGAGGACTGTTAGCTTAATCCAGAGAAAAATATGGATTCTAATGCGGCTCTGACACAGAGGAAACTTTACATGTTTGTATTTCTACTTCTGATTGACCAAAACCATAAAGTTATGAGTTTGCTGCACGCCCCAGAGGGCAGAGACAAACCAGAGGGAGAAATCATTGGCCAGAGGAGAAGCAGCAGGTAACATCACAATATTGTACAGATTACTATCGTGTACCAGACAATTAAAATAGTATTGGTCAGTTAATATAATATAATACTAATGAGCGTCTGTCAGCGGTCTCATACTCGTTAATATCTGTTCACCTAACGTAGTTTAGTGCTTTAGAGAGACGGAGTGCTTCCGGTTCTGGAGCTCATGCGGGCTTCTGTGAGCTGGATCCAACCTAAACACAAGCAAGCAAGTCCAGTTGGTATTTTTAAAAGCTGCACATGATCCTCTCCTGGTTGTCCGGGCGGCGGTTCTGATCCGGTTCCGAGGTTCTCAGTTGTGGTGGATAAGTAATAGTCTGATTTGGCATTTTTGAAGAATAGTACATTTATTTCTTAGTTAGATAAACATCTGATTAAAAGTATTTTTCCTTCAAATTGACTTTAGCAACTTAAGTTTTCAAATGTGCATCACGGGTTGACCACAAACCACGTGAAGCTGAGATCTGGAGGTGGAACCAGGTTTGGTCACACAGCTGAACAATGTTTCCAACTACGGTACATCAGAAAACCCAAATCAGACTGACCCAGATAAAACCAAGGAAGTCACGTTTTAACTGTGCATCATGTCTGCACATGTTTGTTTGTGACTGACAGCTGCTGAGCCTTGGCCTGAAAATGCAACCCTGTACCAACCCCTGAAGGGTAAGACCGAGAACTGGAAGAATAATCCTAATTATTTATTTGCCAGTTCTCTAGGTGATCTCCTTCTTTCTCTGTTTATTTCTAAACAGAAGATCAGATCCTGCTCTCAGACCATGCGTCGTCTCTTGCTGTGCAGGTAGATTGTTTATGATTGTGCTCAAATGTCTGCATGTTTATTCTGTGTGGTCCTCTATTCCTGCCATAGTCTTACATTTATGTAAAGCAGCATACAATGATTTTATTCATTTAAACTGACAATTTATTCCATCTATAAAGGGATATATTATATAAAAATAAGTACATATTTTTAAAAACCAACAGGTTTTCAACTAAGCATCATTTGAACTTGATTTACAGTGAATTAGTTGTTTTATATCTTTTTAGTTTCCAGCCATTTTTGGAAGTTTTGTTTTTACATCTTCCCTCAGTGACCGTTCGTCTGGTTTCTCCTCTGCAGGCCTATCTCAGGATGTGCGGTCTACCTGTGCAGGTGCTTTGCAGAGTGAACTCAGAATTCATGTCGCCATCTGGTCAGTACACATGCTGTTCCATAGCCCTAATCCCCACACTTTGTTCTTTCAATCAAGCTTTTTATTTCCTTTTCCTGCAGGGAAAATTCCCTTCATCCATGTAGGGAACCAGGTGGTTTCAGAACTTGGTCCGATAGTGCAATTCACCAAAGCTAAGGTGATGCGACAGTTTCACAGAAACAGATCAACTCAAAGTGTGGATTTGATCGTTCTTATAAGGCTCGTTTTTTTCTTCCCAGGGTCACTCTCTGAGTGACGGCTTGGACGACGTTCAGAGAGCTGAGATGAAAGCTTACATGGAGCTTGTTAACAACATGCTGCTCACTGCCGAGGTACGACACAAATACGCATAGGAACAACACACGGTTGTTACCATAACAACTCCTCCACCTCTCTGCAGTTATACATCCAGTGGTGCGATGACGCTACAGCGGCAGAGGTGTGTATTCTCATTCTTTGAGTATTTTTTTTTTATTGTACTCTATCGTTTCATTGGTGTGTCTTTATTTTGAGTAGATCTCACGTCCCAGGTACAGCAGCCCTTACTCCTGGCCTCTCAGTAAAATCCTGGCCTATCAGAAGCAGTGGGAGGTGCGCAGGAAGATGAACGCCATCGGCTGGGGAGGGAAAACGCTTCAGCAGGTCAGTAAAAAATAAATCAGCCAATACATTGAGTATTTGTTTTGATGTCTGGCTCTCTTTTAGGTTTATGAAGATGTGAGTCAGTGCTGCCAGGCGCTCTCTCAGAGGCTGGGGATGCAACCGTACTTCTTCAACAAACAGTATGTATCCAGTAAACCTGATCGGTTCTGTAATCTGCTGGCATCGCTTGAGCACCACCTTGTTGATCATTGTTGTCACGGCGTCTTAAATTGAAGACATTCTCATTGAAAAGGTTAATTGTTTGTTGGGTGAATTTGGTCTGTAATGGTTTTGTAAATGGGGCGAACAAAATGAATAATACAATTTTTGAGTAAAGTATCTGAGTGTATGTGTGTGTGTGTGTGTGTGTGTGTGTGTGTGTGTGTGTGTGTGTGTGTGTTTGTGTGTGTGTGTGTGTTCTAGGCCCACAGAGCTGGATGCACTGGTGTTTGGTCACCTCTTCACCATACTGACCACCAGACTGACCAGCAGTGAGCTGGCAGAGCGGGTGAAGAGCTACAGCAACCTGCTGTCCTTCTGCAGACGCATCGAGCAGACTTACTTTGAAGACAAGAGCTCATGAAGGCCCGATAAATGACCTCGCCCTGTACATTCTGCATTTCCGTCTCTCATTCCCCTGACTGTAGCACACAGCCCCCTAAAACTGCCCATTTGAAATATTCTCTCCTTTTGCTTCCTGCCTGAACGTCGCATGCAGCTTGAGAGATGATAGTTATTTTAAGACATGAGAAAATGTTTTTTATTAAAGTCACTGCAGATAAAAGAAAGTCCACGAAATGACATTTATTGCCAATTAACAAGGTATATATGTCGCCTCTAATAACGAGTTCCAGAGAATCATCGAATGTAGAGCCGATGGGAGCAGATGTCGTAGTTTAGACTGATTGGGTTTTTGAGTTGAATGGATGCTCTGTGAAACAGTCATTTGCATATTTATTTACAGTCTACCTTTCCACCAGTTGCATTCTTAGGTTGCTGGAAGATTTTTTTTTTGAGCCACGTTTGGAACGGTAGGCGTATGAATTTCACAGCTGTGCAACACGACCAACTTTCAGAGGGCAGAACTCCACTTGACCCCAGTTTGAGGTCAAACCGTGCACATTTTATTTTTCTCCTGGGGCGCTTAGAAGCTTGTAAGAAATGCAGAACAGCGTTGGCAAACCCAGAGCTGCTTTTGTCTTCTATTGTACAAAGAAACTAAACGGGAACATAGTGATGATGGTGTGATTTAAATGTTTTTCCACTTTGTTTTCCTTATGTTAAAGTGCCTAAGGCAGATTTTCAGCTCAATAAACTTTTACTTTCCCCAATAAATGTATTTTTGTTTTACTTTGAAGCTCACGTTTTAATGTTATATTTCAACTTCAAAGGGGAGTGCAAACCAAAATTGAAAACAGCTGCAAAGATAAGTCCGTGAGGTCTATTTGTGGCTCCAGTGGCAGCTGTATCCACACTTGAATGTGTTCCTGCCTCCAGGTCTCATACAAGCTCATTGGTAACGTCCGATCACCTCTGGATGCCCTGCTGTTGACCAGGTTGTGTGTCTGTGTGTCAGACAGAGTCAGCGTCTGTCTTCCAGGTTTCCTGTGAGGTCGGGGTTCGACCTGTGAACTTCCAGGAGCTGTGACATCATGAGTGATGAGCCACACTGACCAAATGCTGCACAACTGGAGGTCGTCAGCCAGTTAACAGATGGAGATAAACTGGATCAATGCAGTCTTCTGACTTCTGCTTTTTACTAAACTGTGATGGAATCTTTTCATTTTATTTTTTTAAATTCAGTCAGATGTGATGCTCCGGGTACGTGTGTTTCATCTGTCTCAAACACTTACAGAAGTATTTACAGTTAAAAAGTAAAAGGTTAATAATAGAGGAACGATCACAGAAGGGTTATAAATGTTTTAAAACTATCTTAGTTTCCTTCCTATTCCTTGATTTGACTTATTCACAAATCACTTTTCAGATAAATTCATATTACCAAAGTTCTTAACATCCATCCATCAATTTTCCTTCTCTTATCCGGGGTCGGGTCGCGGGGCAGCAACCTAAGCAGGGAGGCCCAGACTTCCCTTTCTCCAGCCACTTGGACTAGCTCCTCCGGGAGGATCCTAAGGCGTTCCCTGTTCAGCCGTGAGACATAGTCCCTCCAGCATGTCCTGAGTCTTTCTTTAGGTCTCCCAGTTGGAAGTGCCCAGAAAACCTCACCAGGAAAGCATCCAGGAAGCATCCTAACCAGATGCCACCTCAACTGGCTCCTCTCGATGTGGAGGAGCAGTGGATCTAAAATAGAAAAAATGCTGGAAGTGCTGCAGGGCTGTAAGAAATTTTATCTGGTGCTCTTCAGCCGAGGGATCCACATGATTGTTGGGCAAAAGGAGATCTGAGGCACTCAGGAGATACAAAATTAAAAAGCCTTTATTGGCGCATGGCTTAAATTGTTAAAAACATAAATGTCAACGCATTATGTTGCTTTTGCCGAGCAGTGGAGCTACTCTGAACTCCTCCCAGATGACCGAGCTTCTCACCCTATCTCTGAGGGACAGCCCAGACACCAGAGAAACCTAATTTCTTGTTTCCATTATCTTGTGGTTTCTGTCACTACACAAAGATTGTAACCATTGATGCTAAGTGGCCTGTTTTTGATGAAGCACCTTCTAAAGTCCAATAGAACCCCCCAAGGTGCTTTACAACACAACCAGTCATCCATCCATTCACACACACTCACACCCTGGTGGTGATGAGCTATAATGTAGCCATAGCTGCCCTGGGGTGCACTGACAGAAGCAAAACTGCTGAGCACTGGCGCCACCAGTCTCTCCAAACTTCACCAGCAGGCAAGGTGGGTTAAATAACTGGCCCAATGACACAGTGACAGGCTTGAACCTGCAACCTCCCGATTACGGAGCGGACACTTAACTCCCCTGACACTGTCGCCCCTGTAGATGAGGACTGGAGCGTAGATCGACCATTAAATAGAGAGCTTCACCTTGTTGCAATGTTATCCTGCAGTGCATAACAAGGTTTTCAACCAAGACTTAAAAACCATAACAGAAGAAAAATTCCTATTATATAATAGAAACTCATTCCAGAGTGTTGGAGCTGCTATTGAAAAAGCTCTCAGGTGAGGACTTACAGCCACATCATATCAGGCAGGTTAGCTGGAGCTAGACCATTAAAAAGTTCAAAAATAATAAAAACATGTTTGAACTTAATTGGATGCTCAAATTTCCACTTATTCTCTTTAAACCTCCCCACAGAATGCTGTAAGAGCTGAAGAGGGGATGACACACTATGAGTAACCTGTTACGAATGCATGTCCAACAGTTTTAAGTTCACGAGAAATTGCTTCACCTTTGATCATTCGAAGAGGATAATTTGAAGAGGTTGAAAAGAACCTGCAACCCCATTTATATTTGTTTGACCTTTGAAACAAAAAACAGTGTTAATCTTCACACCTGTACTTTAACCAAATAACTGAAGTGGGAGTTTAACTCCCCACAGTCAAAACAGAGTCCATCACAATGTTAAGGTCCAAACAATAGTGCCTCAGTCTTTCCGCCGTTTATATACAGGAAGTTCTCAGGTGATCCTTAGACTTGTCCAGTGGTAATACAGCTAGAAATCATCATTTAAATGAAATGCAATACCATTCTTGAGCAAGATGTCACCCCAGGTCAGGATGTACACAGAGAACAATAAGGGTCCCAATATGGAACCTTGTGGAACACCTCCATGACAAGCGCACCTGTCACTATCTCCTCCTGAGTATCAACTCATATGAGTCAAATACAGATTTATAATTACAAAATCCAAATGATGTATAATGGACTATTCATAAGGAATTTCACTCTGGTTTCACATTTGCTCTTTTTTTTTTTACATTTTGCACAATTACCCCATCACATATTTTTAGATGGCATCAAACCCACACTTTAAGCAGACAAAAATAAATAAATTCAATAAAGTCACATACCAATTTTCATGAATTCCTGATGGTGTTTTGTACCACTGCTCGATGCAGAGACAGTTTGAAGTTGAGTGAAGGAAAAGGCAGGTAAATATAATTTGATCCAATCCGATTTTATTCAAAAATCACCTTAAGAATCTATGGAGGATAGAAATGCTTTCCATAATAAATAATAAAAAGATAATGTAGCATACCCCCCGAATGAAGGATGACACTTTACTGATGAAGTTTTGGACATAATGACGATGACCCTCAATTTCACCATAAGAGCTGGAGATGTGTACAAAGAACCCCATGTAAATAGATGCACACTGTTACAATTAATACAACTGTTATTAACAGTTTACAATAGTTTACAACATACACCATAAATTACAATTTTCTTAGCTTTACAAGATAAATCAATACATTTGAATCTAACCATTATATCACAAAAAATATTTAAAACATAAGTTTATTAAGATAATAAATTTACCTTGTGCTTCTATCAAGGGGGCTGCTGATAACAAAATCCATATTAGATCTCCGTCAAAGCTGCTTTGGCCGTTTTTATCACTGTTAAGCTAGCTTGCAAGAATTGTTAGAACAGAAAATAGAGCCTTCAAAATAAAAGTAGTTCATTCTAACAGGAAGTTGATTAAAAAGGATTATAAATAAAGGCAATTTGTGCCAAATTAAAATACAAGCAAATGAAGGTGTCATAGAGTTAGTTACACTTCCACCAAAATTATGAATGACTGGTTTACATAAGAAGAGAAATGAAAAGTTTTCTCAAACAAAATGACCCAAAAAGAACTTAAGAACTTTCTAACACCAAAACAAGTTTTTGTACTGGACGCTCTACAACTGATAACTTGTTAGCGCGTTGACCTTTATTGTTGAGCCTCTTTTCTCCGAGGTAGATCATTACTTTTCGTACAAGTCCATTCTTTCCTTTGACAGTCTCTAGAACTCTTGCAAGTCTCCATTCACCTCTAGGTGCTAGTTCATCCATGTCCAACACAACATCACCAACCTTTTGATTCCTTTTGGGTAAGTGCTATTTTTGCCTTAAAATGATCTTGTGAATGTATTCCCATTTCCAACGGCTCCAGAACTGTGCGACAAGGAACTGGACACACCACCATTGTTTCCTGCAATACAGGTCATCCTTGTGAAAAGTGCCAGGTGGGGGCAGTGGTGCGTTGGATTTCATGTGAAGGAGATGGTTGGGTGTAAGTGGTTCTAAGCTGTCAGGGCAAAGATTATCTACAGTCAATGGTCTACTGTTGACTATAGCCATGGCTTCATAGAATAAAGTTCTTAATGAAGCATCATTGAGTCTACTTTGAGCCAGTGACAGAGTAGTGTTCAAAACACTTCTGACAGTCTATATCTGGCGTTCCCACACTCCTCCTGCATGACTAGAGTGGGGAGCATTCATCACAAAGTCACATTGTCTGTCAGACAAGTAAGTGCTAAGTCTCAGAGTCTCAAGCTCATTTAAAGCTGCCTTAAATTCATTTTGAGCACCAACAAAGTTTGTTCCCTGGTCACACTGGATTTGTCGGACTGCACCTCTGATTGAAATGAAACACCTTAATGCATTAATAAATGCACCAGTCCTCCAATAGCTCAATGTGAATAGCACTAGAACAAAAGCAAATAAACAAGAGTCCATATCGTTTGTGTTGTTGTCTTCCCTCTGTGGTCTCAAACTGACCAAAACAGTCCATGCCGCATTGTGTGAAGGGAGGAGAGGGCTCCAAGCGTTGTGGAGGTAGGTCACTCATTCTCTGACCCTCTGGAACATTGCGGAGTCTGCGGCAGGTCACACACTGACGGATGAATGAAGCAACAGTTTTACTCATTTCAGGAATCCAGTAGCCACTAGATCTGATTTCATGGTGAATCCTTTTCCTTGGTGTTTTACTTTGACAGTGAGATATAATGAGCTTGGCTGCATAGTGATCTTTTGGAATCATAATCGGGTATTTGAAAGTGTCACTTGCTGCATGTTGGAGTCTCCCGCCTACTTTTAGGAGACCATCTTTATCCATAAAGATGTCCAGTTTAAACAGTTTGTTGTGATGTGGGAGCTGTTTGTCTTTGTTCAGAAGTTTATTTCCTGTCCATATGTTTGATTTTGTACGTCACGAATGATCACAAGTTCAGCCTTTTTCTGTTCACTCACTGTAGCTGTTGCATTTGACTTGATGTGTCAAGCCCTTCTTTTTACATGTGCAACAGCTTTGATTGCTTTTGACCAGGACAAGAACTTACTCAGGCATTCAGCAAGACTCACATCGTGTGTGACTTTTGTTAGCATTGTCTGCATCTTTCTGACTTCTGGATCCCCTATGGTCAG